ATCTTATACAATCCGCGTGAAGCGATATATTATAAAAGATCACTTGTGAACGAAACGTTCCGTAGCGTTCCGTAGCGTTACGCTAACTGATCGTCGAAAATTAATCGATGCATTGTTTCGCGTTCTCCGCGAGGATTTCTACACATACGAAAAATGCAAACTTTCCGCCCGTTTAGAGAGTGATACTTATAATATCCAATTTGTTTCTAAAACGTCCATTTCCTTTATTTCTTTATTTATAATTAATTTATATATAAGTTTCTTACATATTATATATATATATATATATATATATATATATATATATATATAAGTAAATAAATAATCGATGTACATTTAGTGTTAAGGCACTATGTGGCCGGCCGGCCTCGTAATACATTTCTATACAATCTTTAAGTACATTTTTTTCAGGATCCAGTGTGTTTAAAAATCTAGTCTTGGTCTTAAATTGAAGCTTAGGATGTCCTTCATGAAATGAATAGAGAGAATTGTAATATCTTTTTTGGTTCGTTCGCAATCTCACAACAAAGATGGAGTATGCCACTGATGACACTTTTGATCACTCAAACGGCCATAAGTTCTGAACAAAAAATACTATCAAAATTCTGTCTATTCATTTCATGAAGGACATCCTAAGCTTTATTTTAAGACCAAGATCAGATTTGTAGGCCCAGTGGATCCTGACAAAAATGTACCTAAAGATTGCATATAAATGATACTAAGCCAGCCGGCCGCGTAGTGCCTTCAATAAGGACAACACGATATCGCTTCGTTTTGGAGTATAAAGCGGAGAGAGTGAGATAGCTGCTTTATAGCCGTGCTGTAGAAGGAGAATGATCGCGAACTCCACTCGAGCGGTAAACGCGCTGAGATAAGAGACACGCGATAATCCCATGTTTATAAACAGCGTTTGGAAGCGGATATTTGCCGCTGCATGTACGATTGCACGAAATGTTTCTAACTATACATCGTCGAATAAAGGTCCGATTTCACGCAGCGAATAAAAGTTGACGTTTCACCTCACTCCATCAATTTTCACCGAAATGGCGAATGTAGCGAATAAACGCTCAAAGTTCGACACAGTCCAACTTTTAGCGAATAAAAGCTGGCGTTTACCACCACTTCATTAATTATCGCTAAAAAGACGAATGAAGCAGATAAACGCTCAAAGTTCGACACAGTTCAACTTCTAGCGTTTTAACTGGATCAAGTGATTGTAATTAATTAAGTGAATAAAATAGGCCATATAAACTTGGTGAAAAATTTTTCATCTATAATTATGTATGAAATTTGTCCATACATAATTATGTATAATCGTATAACATTATATATCATTATACACAATTATGTATAACAATATGTATAATTACATATAAATCTATACGTAATTATGTAAAATTATATATGAATTTATATATATAATTATACATGATTATATGTATTAGTAGAATATATGAACATGAATGGACAAATTTGATATATAATAATATATAATTATGTATAACTATATATAATTGTATATAATTATGTATGAAAAATTTTTCATTGGGAAAACAGCAAATTATAATAAAAACAAGAAATTATGGCTGAAGGGACTGATAAATTGACAGCGCCCGATAATACAAACAAAGTTAGTATATATTATATATAATCAGCATATTTATATAGGTTATAACCTATAGGCTATTCTTTGTATCTCATTTATTTATATTAAATTGATTAATTTTTTCGTCTTATGCATTTTTTCTTTTTTAACAAATACGTCGCTGCAACTACAGCAGCTATATATCGTCTTCGAACTTCATCTATAATCGCCACTGTACATCTATAATATTTTATATACTCCATATCTCGATTATAACACTCCATTTTTATACTTATTGCAGTTTATATAGGATGTTAAACGTGGTGAATAGGATATGGGCGACAGCGAACAGCGTTATAACGCTGCTTTGAACTACGCTGAAGTGGGGATAAAACGCTAGCTTTTATTCGTTCCATGAAAAGAATACAGGTGATAGCGAACAGCTTTTAAACGCTGCTTTGAACAACGATGGAGTGAGGTGAAACGCCAGCTTTTATTCACTGCGTGAAATCGCACCTTAAAGGCCTTTGCAGAATGTCAGGCAACAGGCAATGGGTGTATATCAGTTGGACACTGGGCAATTGGACACAGTCCAATCACAAGTCGCTGTTCCAAGGGACCCTACAAATGTCTCTAATCACACGGTGCTGTGATTGGCTGTGTCTAAATGCACCGTGTCCAAGTGCACCGCTCCCACAGGCAATAGGAACAGGGAATAGGAATTCGGATTGGTCAATTATTTGTATTCCCTTTTCCTATTGGCTAATGTTTATTCCTATTGACTGTTACCTGGCATTCTGCAAAGTAGAAATGCCCGATTCTGAATTGATTCGATTCTTTCCCAAAAATAGGCTTATTCGTGTTATTTGCACTTTTCGCACTTTTCGTACTTAAAACTAGACAGAAGTATATTGGAATGTTTCGAAGAAGCAAAAACGAGACAACCAACTCGATTGTTTTTTCCAAACGTCTGATTAGGTGTCCATCTTTTTTTAAAAGCAAAAAGTATGAAACATGCAAACAGCACGAACAACCCTTTTTCCCTAAATTTGTTAGAGAAAGAATCGAATCGATTAAGAATCGGGCATCTCTACTGGGATGCGTTCGAAAACATTGAAAGTCCACGACGGAAAGTGGCTGCGGTGGATGGGCTTGGTGGGGTTAGTGGAGTTGGTATCGAGAGGAGTTTTCGAACAGCCATGGAAGAATGCTCAATGTGACATACTACATGTGTGTTGTGCCTACATATGTGTTGTACAAAATGGCTGATCGAAAGCGTATTTCGACATTAGCTATAATTGCTTCTCAGCAAAATAATAATAAATTAATAAATTTAGTAATTAATTAATTAATTAATTTAGTAATTATTAATTTATAATTTAGTTATCTGGAAAGTTAATTGGCTATATATTCCTCGGTCCGAGAACTCGGATCGATTTCTAGCATCGTGGGCACCAGGCCTAAGGAAATTTATAAACTTATTTATTACTCCTTACCTTTAACATCGTATATATAGATATTTCCCTTGTCATCCTTTTGTATATTTTTTTTAATATCCATGCATAAAATATGACGACCCGGGATTAAATTTTCCATTTTTTTTCACAAATTGTTACTGATTCGTGACTTTTAACGTGCCTCGTATCTCGTAAGAAAATTTCAGAACCTATAAAATACAAAAAGCTTAATAAGCTTTATTTATATTTAAAGACAATATTCTGACAATATACATCACTATAGAAATAAATCTAAATCTGGCTAACTACTGTATTTAAATTTTTTATCTTACCATGATGGCTAATGGTTGTACGAATGTTTCGAAGAACAAAAAACCATAAATAATTTAGTAATTTCATACTGTATTGCACTCTTTGCGCACTCTTCACCATCTCCACCGATTCACACCGCGCAAAAGAGAGTGGAGAAAAGTCACACGAGTGGTCCACGGAGTACGGTTTTCGAACGGCCATGGTCGCATGGTCAGTGTGCCCACTAGGGGTTTTCGAACGATCTGAGTGTGACAAAATACACACGGGTGATGTTTTCGAACGCACCCCTGCTTGGCTGCGTTCCTACTCGGTGAGTAAAGTAACATTTAATTAACCAATCAGAACAAAAGGAACTAAGATTTATTTATCATGATTGGTTTTTAAAGTAACTTTTTAAAGTAAACCATCGAGTAGGATTTCTGAACATAGCCCTTAAGGTGCCAATACATGGGAGCATTCCAGCGTCGAGCGTTAAAGCGTTAGCCAATCAACGTATCAGATTCCAGAAGTATACTTGTAGTTCTTGCGGAAAGTGGCACGTTGATTGGCTACCTGTTTAACGCTCGACGCTCTCATGTAAAGGCACCTTTAAGGGTGTAAACCCATGCAGCGGAATAGCGAAGCGCGGAACGAGAGCGGAACCAATCACGAGCATTCCGTAATTTTTGTTGAGTAAATTTCCAATCCCTAAGTCACGATCTACAATAGCTACGTTCGGCAATGTAAATCGAAGACGTCGGATTGCTCTTTTACCTCAAAAATGCACAGAAGTGAGAGAGATACGAGACCTCGCATCTTTTTCATTTCTATGCATCTTCGAAATGAAAGAGCAATCCGACGTTTTCGATTTACAATGCTGACCGCAGCTAATAGGTGTAGTAAGCTTTAAGCCATAAGAAATTAACCAATCACAATTGATTATTTCTCTATAATTCCACTGTGATTAGTCAATTTCTTAAGGCTTAAAGCTTACTACATTTATTGTAGATCGGGACTAATGCAGGATTCACACTGCATACGACGTCCGATATCTAATAGAAGAACAGCTTTCTAATATAGAATTCAATTCTCCATTGAAAAGTTATTCTTTTATCAGACGTCGTACGTCGGATGCGGTGTGAATTCTGCATTGATCCTCATGGAGCGGAATGAGCGTAAAGGGACGTCTACATTGAAAGTAAATAGCAAGAAGTAGGAAGCAAGAGTAAGAAATTGACCAACCACAGTCGAATGTGAGAAGAATAATTAACTATGATTGGTCAATTTCTTATTCTTACTTCCCACTTCTTACTGTTTACTTCCAATGTAGACGTCCCTTAAGGGTCGTGGCACACAGAAGAACTTAAACAGTAAGACGTAAGCAGTAAGCAAATTGACCAATCACAGTCGTTAATTTTTCTTACGGTCCAAGAATCAACGACTGTGATTGGCTGATTCGCTTACTGCTTACGTCTTACTGCTTAAGTTTTTCTATGTGCCACCATCTTAAGCGGATGAACAGCACGTAAGTAAAATGATCTTTAAATTTATGTTTTATTACTTGTTTTTATTATTATGTACATAAATATTTAATTAAATATGTTTTGTATTGGAATTATTGACTGAAAATGTTAAAATCTATTAAATAAGTTTTAAAGTGGTTGTAACATTTTGAAATAATGACTCGCAATTGGTTGAGCAAAATCTGCGATGTGCTTATTCCGCTCCATGGTAACTTAAGAGCTCCTGTTTCAATGTTAAAAAATGACGGATTTGTACATATATATTACGCATCCATTGTTAAACTCATGGCATAACGATTATATTGTGCTGAATATTAATAAACTTGGCCAACTGGATTTGTTCTTCTTAATTTGAGGTTATATGGGCTCACGTCTATTGTATTATAGAAGCATTGAATAAAGAATACCAGAAAGCAATGATGCCAGGGTCGAAGTAGTGTCGATCAATCAAAGCTACTCGTACAACTCTTGATTCCCAGTGAAGTACCAATGTCACGACATTTGAAACACTTGTATCTTTGGAACACTTGTGAAAAAAATAAAATGGAAGGAAGATAAAGTGAAAGGAAAAAGTTGTAAGGAAGGAAAGAATATAGTAAATTGATATAGATAGAAATAAAATTTATTATGTTGCATCTGCAGTTGACTTACCAAAGAAATACCAACATTTGTTGTTATAGTAGTAGTAGTAGTAGTAGTAGTAGTGGAGCAGGTGGGCACTTTAATGCCCTTACGTCACCTAGATCTAGAAGTTCCATTGTGACCTCCCGCTCTTTTTTTTAGGATTACGCTAATAAACCCAGCCTAGTATCTGACGCCAGGTCAATCAAGCTGCTAACCCTTTTTTCGTTTAGATCCTCAGGCTCCATGAACATGCAGCCCCAGGATCTATACTTTTTACATATGAGTACAGGATACCGACATAAAATGTGGGCGCTGTCCTCTCTCTCCTCACCACATAGGAGGCAGTCGCTTTGTTCCGTAAGCCCAAGTTTGTTTAGATGGCTCCTCAGTGTGATGTGTCCCGTGAGAAGACCCAATCCCACCTTCAGCCTTAGTCTGTTCATGGCCAGGAGCTCGTCGGCTCTCCCCGGCGATGGTTGCTCCATTAGCCGTTTAGCTGTCCGGCAGCCCCCCACCGCTCTCCAGGAGCCAACGTGCTCCCGCTCAAGCCATCCTCTGATGATGTTGATTCCCGTTACAAAAGGTACTCCAACGATCTGCGTGGCTGGGTCCATTTGGGTCCCCAGCTTGGCCAACTCGTTGGCTATCTCGTTCCCGAGAAATCCCTGATGTCCTGGGATCCATACTAGAGTTATCTTGTTAGATTCTTCCAATCTAGCTAATGCCTGCATGCAGTCCCAAACTACAGCCGATTCTGTAGTGGTCTTTGCAAGGGTATGTATGGCCGCTCTGCTATCAGAGCATATGTAAAAGTGCTGGTTTGCACTATCCTTTACAGCAAGGGTTTCCGCTCAGGATGGCCATCACCTCGGCTTGAAAGACCGTGGCCAGCCCGCCCAGAAGTATGCTTTCTCTATGGTTTCTTTTCGGCCCATAGATTCCTACCCCATACCGACCATTTGCACCCGATCCGTCTGTGAACCAAAGATCCACTTTTGGATCAGCTAGTAATTTAGACTTGTTCCAGTCGTCTCTAGTTGGTATTAAAACTTTAAATTTCTTCCCCAACTGATGTTTTCTTGGAATTCTATCCTGTTTTAACATGAAGGGGTACTTCTGAGAAAGTCCCAGTCTAGTGTGTCCTAGACCGGTATTTTTCCATTCCCCCATCTAAGTCTATAAGCCGTTCTCCTGGCTTAGTATTTTATCAGCTGACCGAGAGGTGGGCAGCAGAGAGCTACTTCCAGCGCCTCCGTCGGGGTGGTTCTCATGGTCCCTGTCACAGTCCTCAGATAACTATCCTGTAGGCTTTTTAACAGGTTCCTGGCTCCCACCCTCTCCATTCTCGGCCACCATACTACCGCTGCATAAGTTAGTCTTGGCAGCAACACCGTCCTATACAGCCAAAGGGCAGCCCTGGGTTGAAGCCCCCAGTTTCTACCCATTACTCTTCTACAAGCCCACATGGTGGTATAGAACTTTCTTCTCTTCTTCTCGAGGTTTGGCAGCCAGCTCAGTTTAGCATCCAGGATCACTCCAAGATACTTCACCAAGCTTGTGTAAGTTATTTCCCTGCTCCAGAGCTCTATGTGTTCGGATTTGTATTTCCTGGTAAAGATCACTGCCGAGGTCTTAGATGGTCCCTTCTTTCTGTACCAGGTTTGAATTATCCTCAAGGCTGCGTCCATCCTCTCCTTGAGGATCGATATGAAATTTCCTCTGGCAATGATGGCCACGTTATACA